GCCCCCCCCCCCCCCCCCCCCCCGCTTGCGCCAATAAAATAAGTGGTCCAATTGCTCTGCTTCGCTGCAAACACGGGTTATGCGGTCCAGCCAAATGGATACTGCATGAATGCATGCAGGCGCGTTGCGCAACACGCCTGGCGACACCAACTACAGGGTTCTCCTTTGGGAACCTGAGGCTATCAAAAAATAGCAAACATGCACGAAAAAAAAATCGTAGGCAGCTGTAAAAAGTGCATTGTCTGCGACCCTGCGCTGAAGAAAGGCTGGAGGAGTATGCGGAATTAGGGAACTTAGTGGCTTTTGGCTTTCATCTTGTCCATTTGACTTTGCTTTCTCGTGCAAAGTGTGGCTTGTTTAAATTCGTTATCCCTTTCTTGTTGCGCTGCAGAGAAAAACAGTTTATGCACACTGCGCGTGCGCATACGAACGAGTGCTGTGAATTATTCTTCCATATGACATAAATAAGCATTTACTGGTTTTCGAACAGCTCCTTTCTCGCCAGCTGCCGGTGTTGTGCATGTGACGGAATGCCTGAACTGCTCGTGCACATGCACTTAGGGGCTCCTGACAAAACGAGAGCGGCTGGGAAAAGACCATTTTCTAAGCGCATTAATGTGCAAACTGCTATGTATGCAATGTAAACTCAAATGCGAGCGCAAGGGTCTGTTTCACCGAATGCGAAGACGGGCAGCTCCGGCCCACCGTGCCCCTGCAGGAGAACAAACCACGGCGAATGCCGTTAAAGCCTGTAAACAATTTATGCATATGAAGTTTGGACAAGCGTTTTAGCTCCTTTCAAAAGCAACGCGGTCAGCGAGTGGGAGGGAAATGTCTTGCATGCATGCCTTCCGTTCCCTGAGCAGAGACCAATGGACACATCGCTTTCTGGCGGGCTCTTCATCGGGTAATTCATGCTGAGTATAATAAGTAAAAGTTGTGGAGACAAATGACACTTCTTCGAATTTCGTGGCCACGTTGCTGTTTTCTTAGTAGGCATAGCAGGAGAGCGGTCCGCTTTTCGCAGCCGCTCAAATTCGAGTTCTAGCCAGCCGTGGGTAAGCGTGTGTTTGCTGCGAATGCTGCTTCATAAAGGGCGTTACACAATTTAGTTGTTTTACTTCGTATCCGGCTGCATCAAAAGCTGGCAGGGAGAACGGAGGATCGCCCTGGGATGCTGCACGCTATGGTGAACGGATGGGGGTTATTATCAGTCTTTGCAGATGAGCACCACGTTTACTGGGCTATCTCCTTGTCACTGAAGTTGTGATGAGCGTGATTTTGTGTTTCGTCTCCCTCAGCCCTCCTCATTTGAGCTTTTCAGAGGGTTTGCCCCGTCAACAACAGAGGCGTCGGTTAAATGAAAAGTACGCAGAAGAGGAATCACCGGAAATTCTAGCGTTTTGGAGTTGACATTTTCAGGTTGTTTCTACACTAGACAGTACCGAGGCAAGGATCTACAGCTGAGCTGACTGGCCACCGCAGGCCAACTACTGACCTTCGCTGGCGAGGTGGCAGGATGAATCTGCCGGCGTCAAACTATGGAGTTCTCGGGGAAAGGATTCTGTGGCCCCCGGGATTTATTGCTATCCAGAGAATGCCTGGTGAGCTGCTGCACAGCTTGGAGTGTCTAATGAGAAGTTACAGGAGAAATGGTGGCTTGCGAGGTCGATCAGCTGCATCGGCCTCCACAGTAGATGAGGTGCACGCTTGCTGATGTCTCAACAACATATATGACTGTAACTTGAAGAGGAGTTCGAGGAATTTGCATGGACGTCCCTATGGCACATTAATAAGCACCTGTGGAGCATCTATGTGCATGGTGGAGTAGACCCGAGGATTTGATTAGACCTCTACGATGCTAGAGCGTAATAAGCTAGTTTTTCTTTGAAAGGAATGCGTCTTAGGAAGCGCTGCTCACGGTGAGACTTGGCTGATAAAGAACGACGCGAATTCGCAGAAAGAAGAGCTAGCCAAGGACAAGTAAGTTCACAAGGCACAGCAAATGCATGACTGACGTGTTCTGCCTGCGCAGAACACGTTCATGCATGCAGACCACGAAGTACATTCGCCAAGTATCCGCTCGTACATTTTTGCGGAATTTATACTATTACAATACAGTTAAATCCCTCCACAAGGAGGGATCCAACAGAGTGGCTAACTCTTATTGGAGTCGCGTTGTAACTCCGCCGGCGGCTGCTTCTGCAGGGCCAAGTTAGAAGACGCCATCGCTCGGCTGGATGCAGGCATTGAGCAGGCGACGCAGCGCATGGAAGAGGAGCGAGAGGAGGCGTACGAAGAAGACGAACAATACGACGATGAGATGGACTACGCAGAGAGATTCGACCCCCATGACAGGTGATACAGACTGAGGAGGCACCCGCCTTAAGCAACCTTTTCTGAAGCAGCAGTTGCAGTAATCTGTTGCACGATTGTAGCTCTGTTACGGCCGAAGATAGTGTTGTGTGCCTCCTGCCTGCAAACTTGATTCCACTTCTCAAGGTGCGGTTTAGGGGCTCCTGCTGGCTGTGATTGCTTAGGCGGGACCCAGAAGTGCTTTTAGAGGAGAGGCAACAGCTCAAAACGGACATTGAAGACCAGCTTGACGAGGTAACAGGAGAGGAACAGTCCGGGCTGTATTCTGCATTTGACGTTAATACGTCTGGCTCTTAGCTTGAGTAATTTATCCCCCCTTACCTTCATAGTGGATTAGGTGGGTGCGTCGAAGCTGTTGTGGTTTGTTGTCTTCTTTTGGCGCACAGGTCAAGGAAAAACTCAAGGAGCTCGAGTCCAGCAGCCTCAACTTCACTTGGGAACGTCACGAGCTCCCCATTGCTGTAGGCCTCGTCTGTGTCGGGTGGCGTCAGCGTTATTTACATATGTCTACTGCTGCGTATACAGTTCAGCACCTGAGAAAAAGCACAATTTCGGGAAATAGCGTATCAACTGGCACAGTAGGAAGTGTTAAGAATCATTATCAGGGCTGGGCCCTCGAACTGCGATTTGATCAGCACTCGGGGGGTTCGTGTGAAATACAGATTATGGGGATGGATGCATTGACCAGTGTGTGCGTGCTTTTTCATGTCTGCACATGTGGTGTTCTGCTTGGCGAAAAGTCGGTACCAACTGTTCAACTGCCTGACTTCCACACAAGCCTGTGCTCCAGCAGATGGCCTGGGCTTTACAGGCACCACGAGTATACTCGAGTATACTGAGCTTGCTTGCCAATGCTATCTTAGGTGCTAGCGAGATGCATTGAATTCTGTTTGCAGCTTCGGCGCCTCGATAAGCCGTGGGAAGACTTCAACCACGACCTGCTTGTTCAGGCTCACTTAGAGGCCCGAGCGATGCAAGCGGCAGAAAAGGAACGCCTTGAAAAGGAGGCAAAGAAGGCCGCTAAAAAGGGTATGTATCAGCACCGTCACGTCAAAGATGCCTACAGTACTTCCGATGCTGCGACCTGTAGGATGGACGTCCAGGCAGTTCGTCTTTTGTGTTTGAAAAGGATTTGGTGTTCTTGCCACCGATGCAGCGCTCATCTAAAGGTTGTTTACTTCGAACCCCTTAACGTGGCGTAGTGCGTAGTATTGCGAATTATTTGAAACTTCAGGGAAAAAGGTTGCAGCGCCCAAAGCCGCGCCCAAGGCCAGAGAGGTACCAACCATCTACTGCTCCAAAGTCGTAAGACTAACTGTTGAGTGCTGCGCCTGTCGCTAAACGATCGGCACCTTGCATGCCCGGGATGTTAGGTTGTGTTCGTACGAGCATTTCGATCCACATTATCTAGAAGCATCTAGTACATGATTAGCAGCAAGCCGGACGCTGCTAGGGTTTGCTGCACATAGAAAAGATGGCGCCTTAGCAGAGAGGTGTACCGCTAAGTAACACTTATTTAGCGTTGGTCCTGAAGCGGGAAGATGCAAGGTCCTCTGCTGCTTCTTGACTGTCTCAGATGGACCCGGGGGTTGCTGTTGCTGCAGACGGCCGCGTTTTCCACCGCACCGATGCAGGGTATGACGACGCAGGAGCCAAGGCACTGGTGAAGGAAGTTGAGGTCTTTATGAAGTTCTGCTGGCGATACATTGTAGAAAAAGGAAAGTTCAACTTCGAACAAGTCGGGCTACTTCCGGTTGTTCACACCGCCACCATCAGCCGCACGCACAGCAGATCTAGAAGCATGTCTGGGGCTGCCATCATCACGTGAGCAAAGTTACAGCTATCTGCAGTTCGTGTGCTAGAGATGTCGCGATATCGCGAGGTATTGCAGGAGATACCTAACTCCCTTTGGATGCGCTGCAGACTGCCCTCCTGCTTGCATTTGCAAATCTTAACACACAGGGCTGCTGTCACTGCATCGTCATGTAACCGTATATTGCTGCCAGACAAATCGAACAAACACCATCGGTCTCGCGTTTGCCTTTCAGGCCGTTCATGCAGAACGGGAGCGTGGGGGCAGTCATGAAGGCATTGTCTGGGAAGAGGAACACGTATGCGTACAAGCCCGAACTTTTGTTGGCGAACGCGAGGACCCTCGTTTCGTGGTACGTTAGTACCTCGAGTGCTGTATGAATACGTTCTAGTTATTCTATGTAGTGTAAACGTGTCGTCCGTTAAAGTGTAAATAATCGCTGTCGTGCTTGTTGTCACTTCTTCAGCATGGCTTTCTTGGAGCACCACGGCATTTACCATGGAAACATCCACCCATACAACATTTTTGTTTCAGATGATGGATTTCGTCTCCTAATCGGTGACTTCATTCCTCCAAGTAAACTGACTGTCTTCGTGAAGTAGTCGCAGGCGTCTGTGGGCCTGAGGGTAATATGCAAGCCCACGCCGCGCAGGGTGTTAACCCACCTGTTCATGGTGCACAGTCGTTATTTCAGTAGTGCTGTTGACGGCTCAGGCGAATTCAAGCGCTGGCTGGTACAAGTTGCGAAAGGTCTAGCTGTGGTTCCTGCTTACTGCTCGCCCGAATACCACACTGCGCTGACCGAAAGGCGAATTCAGCGAGCCGCGGTGTACGTGGATAGCCTGTCTCCTCACAAAAACGACGTGTTCTGTCTAGGCCTTGTCCTACTGCAGTTAGCCACTCTACAAAATGTGGCGGTGGGCTTTATCACTGCTTTAGTACACCTAACCACGGTCATTAGTGTCGGCGTCCTGTCCACGTGCTGAGAGACAATTCAGCTGGCTTGGCAACAGACCTTACACTGGGATTTTGCAGGTTTTGTTGGAGTTATTTCTTCCATTACATTGGTTATTGTCCATTCATTTCTCCCGACAGGGTGCGCAGGTTGTATTAAGAGGAACGTACGGTTTTGCTTACCTTTTCTTGCGGCATAGGCGTATCGGGACAAGCCCAAACGGTTGGCAGCAGCATTGGAGAAGCTTCAGAACAACAACGAATCACCGGCAGCCCCAGGTATGCTAACTGTTGATGATGACCGCTGTGCTGATCACTCTTCCTCGCAGTGGCTTTTTCCGAAGCTCTGACGGAGCAAGCCCTCAACGAAAACGGGGAGATCTCCTTACAGACTGAGCTCACGTTAAAAAGTCGCTCTCCCCCTTTGGATGCACAACCCCGGGCTGCATAGTACCCAGATATTTCGAGAAGATTATCCTAGCACATTGACATTCATGCCTGTAGTGCGGCATAGCTGGGTCGTCTGTACAGAACTGGCAAAACTGTTAATACGGATGTTGACGATGAACCCGGCAGAGAGGCCTCTTTTTAAAGATCTGGTGGTACGTATGCGACTTACGGGGCATTTTGAACTTCTGGCTCGTCCATTGTTGCAGTCACGTTCAGCATAGCTTAGTACTGTAGGGACGATAGTGGGTCATCTCCAAACGGTGCAGAATGCACGGGCGAGTCGCAAGGACTCCCCTCCAGGACAGTGTGGACTGCTCCAGCGTGTTCGCATAATGCACAGTGTGTCGTTTGGCGCACACGAGCGCGCAGGCAGTGGGTGCGCATTGTAGATTGGTCGTTTGTATTCGGTATATTGTATGTTGCAGGATGTTCAAGATCGCTGGACCCTTCAGGCGTCAGACTGGGTTCGTGGATTTGCGGAAGTGTTAGGCTTTGGGAAGACACCTGGTGAAGAGCTGTACCTGGATAAGTCGCTTACTCCTCCAGGAATGGGCACCCAGACAGCGGCGCCAGACTCGAAGAAGGATAAGAACGGCAAATCAACGTGTGCCATAATGTGACTTCTGTGTACTGTCTCACCACGGTGCGCAGCTTGCAACTGCAAAATCACCTTACATACTGCATACCCTTCGACGTTGCAAGTTAAAGTTTATTACCAACAGCTACACACTGAATTTGCAGAGTTGGAGTGCGGGAACGCGTGCTTGGTGGGGGCAACCTATGCCGTACAGACTACTACCGATGTCGCTTTGGTCCCATGAATGCACACACTCCAACGCTCTGCGTGGCTGGATGCGGTATGCGACGGTATGTTAACTTGTCACCTGCCTATACTGAACAGCACACCTGCCGTCGTAAGGGACAGTTTGAGTACCGGGGCTGATCTGCGCGAACTTGGTGTTCGAAGTGGGTCTCTAAAGGTAAACTGGGAATGTTTTGTCCCCGCGTTTTTTCGCGTGCGGGAGCTTAAGATTAAATTTGCCATTTAGACCCAGCATACCCAATCCTTAACAGGCGCTGCAAGGCCTATGCTGTGCACCATGACGAAAGAGCTGAGCCTTCTGCTTCATGAAGATGCATTTCCAGTGCACTAGGCGGACTGCTGTACACTTGCAAATTCTGGCCCCTGATAATGGCGAACTCCGCTCTTCCTGGGTTAGTCCTACAGAACTGGCAATGGGCAGGCCGCCGTCCGCTTGGGCTCTGGATTATATGCTGCAGTCGGAGTCACAACGAAGAAGCATCGTGTACACCAACAACGAAGAGTCGCGTCTTGAATGTCAAAGCTGAAAACCTGAGCACTGCGGGTCACGCAGTGCGGGACGCGACGACATCTCCTAAACAACACATTTACACTTGGCTTGCGGTAAATCTGCCAGATCATTTGCTCCTCACCTGCGAACTGTTGTCCGCATGCAGCATCAATATCCCGGCCGAAGTAATTTCTGTCAGCACAAACCGCAAGGCTTCCTACTAAAGGCAGCCACTACGTCTTTACAACGGCGGACGTTCCTCTGTCTAACCTGCTTCGAGTGTTCTGGCTGTCCAGGCACAGTTTGTGCAGCCCAGGATTGTTTGGTGTTTGCTCATTGGTACGCTGTACGCCACGAGTTCTCTGCGCAGGCGTGTCCTGCGGCAGGGCCGCTGTCAACATACGTTTGCTATTTACTAAACCTCGACCACTGTTGGGACTGCGCCAACAGCAGGTGTGCCAGTTTGCACATTATTGTCGTATCCGCTACGTGGTTCCACCTAGTGTACCGTGAGGGCGGACTCTTTGCTGTACCCGCCCAATTCTAATTGATGTATGGCTCACCTTCGTGAATGCGATATGGATGCACCGTTAAGTACTTCCTAGACACACAACAAACGCAATCATGCAACGCAAGAGCTTACTCACGAATGTGCTGGCAACACCACATTCTACTCGTGAACCACGAAGCCTTATTGAGTACCTGTGCATACCTCGAACTGCTTGAGTCTCTTGCTGTCAGCCCGTCGTAGGGACGACGATACACCTTGTGCTGCGCACATTACATCAACAGATACGCTAGCTGGTTGCAGTGAAGATGTTTGGGCGTGCAAAGTGCCTTGTGCTGGTGGAGCCAAATTACCTTCATTATATTCAATTAACGACACGTGATACAAGTGTCGTGTTGTCCTTCGGCGGTCCCGAATAAGCGATGCAAGGGCTCTCGCGTGTTCGACAGTGTCGTTGACGCCTGGAACGCACTCCTCCCACAATGCTGCAGGCTTGTACATATAGCTTTTCGGATTCAGTTGGTAGGGATGATTCTGTTCACCTACTTTATGCACTGTGTAATTGGGGGCACTATGTACGATGTGCTATGCAGTGGTCACCCAACTTTCGAAAGCAAATGGGCAACAGTGTCCCGCAAGTAGAAGAACAACTGAACTGTGCTTATTATCTTCGGCAGAATTGGGACTTGCCTTGAAGCAGCAGGTAAGCAATCCACACGCGTCGGCCTGTCAAAGCAACGCGTTCGTCCAGGAGAGCAAACACTTCTGAGAACGGGTACATGCGATTGGCAGGTACCTGCACCATAAACAGAAGATGGACAAAAAAGGTATGTGGCCCGTCCCATCTAGTTTACGTGCCACTGATTGTTACAACTTAAACTACCTCGTACGACCACTGGCGGCACTAGAATTTAGGTGGCACGGTACACATGAGCTCATAGGCAATGCAATGGAGACGAGTCAGAGCACCATGGACGCCCCCTCTAGTCTTAACATTGCGCGTATATTGTGCGCATCGGCGGTATCTGCAGTGTATACATACCAAAATATTCCGTTCCTCCGGAAACGGCGAGTGCAGAGAAAATGCCAAGTTGACCTGCACAACGTAAGAACTGTGCAGCGTGTCAACCTTCCTTCTGGTAGAGAGAGGAGGATTTTCCATTAGAATGCCGATCCAAGTTTTAAAAGCCATATGAACAAACATATTTTCACCCCGTCAATTATCTTAAGTCCGACACGGCAAATCAGAAGAATTAATGTCCAAGTAGTCACATCCTTTCTTGCAGGCAACGCGGTCTTCTTCCTCAGAGGAAAGCAGTATTTTGGTGTGGACACACGACTGATATAGGGTCGATGTGCACAACGCGCAAAGTTAAGGCTAGAGGGGGCAACCGTGGTATCCTGAATACTTGAGACATAATGTGCATAAAGCTCACCTGTGGGTGTTGTTCATTCAGTTTTTTAATGCCCGGAAGAACACCAGACGTGGATATGTTCAAACGCCTCGCCGATAGGCCGAATGCCCTGGAATCTGTAAGTAACTTGAGGGTGTCAAACACGCGGGGGTTTGCAAGCGGCTCCCCCATACCTGCAGAACTCATATAATCATGCGCGACGCCACCTAGTTTCTGTCGATGTTTACATACAGTAGCTGCCCCGCCAGTGCGTTTCTTTGATTCTTAATTCGGGTGTATTTACACAATGGAACAGCTTGAAAAGCATGCAGCCTACGCCTTGGCTGGTGCCGGCTCGCATCGCTCGTCGCTGTAAAATCGTTATCCTTCCGTGCACATATCAATACATGCGCGCATGTATACATGCGCGCATGTACGCTCGTGCTAATAGGGATGTGAACACATATGCATGGATGCACGCCAACGCTGCCCGCCAAGCAAGGAGTTCTAGGGCTGCCTAGAACTCGGGCAGTTCTACACTGCCTGTCCTGACCCTGTCACTCCACACACTTATTTGTGTAGCGATATTTATAAAATCCTGCATACCCATGAAAGATACGGAGTCAGCTCGTACGCCTCTTGTCTGGAAGTACAATACTTGGTCCGACACTTCGTCCACACTTAACTGGCGCTTTAGGCCGATCTTCCCTTTTGCACGTAGAGCACATCTTCAATATGGCACAGAGCATTATGACTGGCATCCCTGTTCTGGAGAAAAGCTTTTCCTCAAATAGCTAATGAGTACGATTAGGTGGCTGTTCCTGCTGCCGTTTAGCATAAAGTTAATTGTAGACGCTACGCTGCTAAAAGTTGGAAGTCAGCTGCAAGTTCCGGGTGCAAAAATGCATCACGCTCACCTGTGGCACAGAAGCTGCAGTTGAACGAGCATCCTGCCTGAAGCGAAAGCAAGATATATACACGCACCGTAGCTGACGTCCGTTCTGTTGTGGGTAGTCAAAAACACCCACGTCATTGTTGGTCAGGAGCCTCAGGTCTATTGCGACTACATAGTGTACTTCATGGGCATGCGCAGGGTAAATATCACGTGGAGGTCATCGCAGTGGCTCTTATTTGCAGCTTATTCACAAAATACGAAACCACCCCACAATATATATTGGAAGATGGCCCACTTGTGAAGATATGCAAAGAGATGTGTGGGATGCAAACTTTAGTGCAACCGCCTCTATCCTGACCCCATCTTTGCACTCGAAGAGTACTTTTGTTGCCTTAGGAGCTTCGGCTATTGAAATGCAGTTTAAAGTTAGCAAGTTCGGGCCAAAATGCGTCTCGATAGCCCTTTGGGCTTGAGTGCCCAAAGACTTCAGGTCTGCAACAGCGCTCACTTTACCCCCATAAAACTGGCGAATCAACTGTTCTAGTCTATACTTTGGGGCTCCTGCCTTCATCAAGACGTCCTTTAGGCGAAGGAAACGGGCAGAGAACTCCATAGACAGTGACGGGTCTCGCACGTCGTGGATTAGCTGTTCAGCACTTGGACGCCGTTACTTCAAGTCATTTGCGTTAAGGGATGAATTTATATGCATAAATCCAAAGGGAAAGTGTTCTTTGGTGTGAGGGTGTACAGGACAGTCGGCGGAGCGTCAATTCGGACCAGCTCTAGTGCTAGCCCCCGCACTGGGGAAGACGTTCACCGAGATGTGCACGCCAGCACTCAATCGTCTACATATTCACACTGTAATGCACTATAAACGTCAAGAACAGAGTAGTGAACATACTTATCAGCTATGAGCATTGGGGCTTCGATCCGCCATCCACCCCAGGCACTGGAAGCTCCCAGACGTGTAATTCAACAGCGTTTGTCTTCGGGATTTCAAACCAACGTTGTGTTTCCACGTACTGACGAAATGTATATCTCATTACAATGCTAAGTCTTGAATATAAGCTTAGAAGCTACCAATACCCAGGAAATGCCGGAACTGGCCCAGCTACATCCCTGCTGTTTGTAGGTTGGTTTGCTTACCAAGGTACAACAGCGGCACTTCAGCTATTACTTCTGGTGAGTGCACCAACCGATTGATTGAGTCAAAGTATGAGTTTCTTCGTTATTTCATAGAGGCACAACGGCGTTCAAACAGAGTTTAGCTAGGGTCTTTGAGTTCATCCTATGACTACAAGCAGCGGCAGAGGAAGGCAGATACGTCGCAGAAGTGTTTAGCAAAAGAAGTGGTATCTCTTTCGAGTCTCCAGACTTGCTGGACAGAGCTGGACAAATGCATGGAGCTGCGAGCGAGGAAACATCCTGTTAGAAATTCTACGGCGTGTCGTGGATTGTATCCGAGGAATATTGTGAGCTGCAATAGAGCCACAATGCTTGAGGCATGACTTCGCTGAAGGCGGCTGACCCCCTTCTCTGGTCTGCCGGCTCCCTTAGCTCAGCACCTCAAGTGCCTGGATTTGCGGCCTGCCATGAGTTACAGCGCGCCTTGCAGCAACCGAACATGCAAGCTAGCCCCGCATGCACGCACAAAACAGCATTCTTAGCTATATTTATAAACGTTGTAGAACATTGTGGAGAAAAGATTAATAATCTGTTGTGAGCTAGTGCAGGGTATGGGTTCATGCGCCAACATCAGACCGAATATAAGCAAGCGACAGATTTTGCCCCAGTGGCTCCAGAGTTCGATGCTCCATCTCGGGGTCCAAGACACCCCCACATGCAAACACAAGAAATACTTCTTGACCGTGCCGTTGAACCCTACATATCATTGTTGAGATCTAGTACTTGCCTCCTGGGTGCCTATTAAGGGCGAGAGAGGATTCAGATGCCCACTTCAGACAGATTTGCCTGAAGTCAACCCATGCTACACAGATCGTGGTTTGACGTCTTATTTTGTCTTATTTTAGCAAGGCTGTCAGAAGTTGGTATAGCATAGTCTGCCTGACGTTGGTGCATAAACACTGACCCGGCCGTAGGAGGCAACCTAGACGCATATATGTTTGCAAACGGGAAGAAGTCTTCAAATCTTCTCTTCAGTGTCATTGAATGCACGGAAAAATATCTGGTTGTGCTTGAAATGTGGGACTGTCTTGCTGTTTGAGCTACACGAAGGTGCACTATAACTCATAGCAGGCAGTCCCCGGTCCCTCAGCTCCATTCTGTGGCGCAGTCTCTGGAATTACGCTCCATCTGAGTTGACATCTCACACATGACACCTTAAATGGTCGTCAAAAGATTAGAGACTTTGGGGGTATTTCCGTTATCCGCCGAAACTTGTATACAAATGTCATCCTACGATGTCATCCATCTCACTGATCTGAAAACTAACAGCGAAATGTCCTACCCAACCTACAGCGAACTTCATCGGCTACAATATTAGAAGACGGGATACTCCACCAAACATAAGCCGCCAGGCGTAAAAGTAACTGTTGAACTTTGTCTGCCGTACCTTCTTGCCGAAATTCCCTGTTCCATTTTCATGCATTCCCGTGTTGCACCGGGATGCATACGGAAGGCTGCAACGAGACTGCGAACGCATCTGGCTGGCTGGCTTTCGCCAGCCAGACCTAACATCGTGCCGGCCAAGTGTGTGTTCGGTACACAAAATGGATTCCGGAGAGTAACGAGTGGAAGAGTGGACAGTTGTATTATAAGCCCACGGCTCTCCTAGGAACACTGCTTACACTAATGAAGAAGGCAAATGCCGTTGAAATCGCTGGGAGGGTCACTCTCACCTCGCGGCCCAACACGCACTGCTTAATGGTGTCATCAGGTGGGCTCATCTATGCCCTCCATTGCAAGACCCACAACATGCCTCATACCAAGTCCTGGGAACTGCTCCTACGTTAAAATCTCATATCATAGATGACCCTCTGCTAAATTTATATTGCCATTTGAGCGAGCCCACTCATTAATGCAATATCTGTGGCAACGTTTCGCAAACGGCAAACGACTGGAAAGTTGTATCATCTAGCCGGACCTGCATGCATCACGTTTTTCGCTTCGTAATCTCTGTCAACCAGAGCAAACAAATCCTTTCGGTTAATACAAACTTGTACAAACATTGTTTTGATTAGATGAGGGTCTGTAAGTGAGGCTTCCGCCCTTTCTTTTCTCACAATTGCCCTGTACGTTGCGTAGGGGGTCCTGGTTTTTCACTGATCTTTTTGTTTATTTACCTGACGGCGATTCTCAGAGTCTTGTCTCTCCAACTCCCTCACTGTTGCACACGCCTGCAGCCCCGAATCATGCGACTATGCTTGCTCCGAAAGAAGCATATGTACCGCTCAATACGATCTACCGAGCCTCTGAGTGCCGTATTCCACGGTTGCTGTTCGGTTGCGATTCTGTCCATTTCTACGTTGTGATTGATATGCAAGACCCCAAAGTCTATAGTCTCAAAAACAGGATGACTTCCAAAATCGCCTCCCTCTCTTTTTGTTGGGGCAGTATCTGTGGGGAGTTTGTCTTTCTCTATCTCGAAAACTATCATCTTTTCGCTGTCGACCCTTTGTCCGTTGCCCAGTCCGTTGTATCAATGATAAGCCAACCGAGCTAATGGCGATGACACCAATAGCGCATGTACCTACTCTGGTACTTGTTGTACACAGAAAAAGTCTACGGTAGACGGAACACCTTCAGTGGCTCCACATTCCGACGACTGGCCTATCTATATGACCGCTAAATGAAGAATGCCGCCTTTTCCTACCATATAGACGGCATTATTCATGTAACGGTGATGGTCTAGGAATAGTGACCCTGCCTGGGATATAGAAATTGTGCTTGCTTTAGCCCTCCAGGGCTCCCATTGGTTGGTTGCCTGTCCACGGGACGGCAGATCTTGACCAACTTCCATTGTGCAAGAGAATTAAAAGGCTGAATTTTGACAATACTTTGGGAGTGTTAGAAAGGAAATGTTCTCTGTGCATTTTCCGGCACCTTCCGTACAACTCACGGCTGTGCAACTGGACTGAACTGCTCTGGGAGTTAGGTGCTGTCCTGTCACGTGCAACTAAGCGTTCGGCGCTGAGGTTTCTTGCTTGTGTGCACCTTGTCCAATATGTAATGGACCGAATAGCGGTTCATAAGCACGCTTTCGACATATTCCCCAATACCACTGATGGCCCGCTACAGCACCTTCCCCAGCGCGTGCCCCTTGGATTGGGCCCCTGCGCTCAAGCCGCCTGGGGACAGGGGGAAGCAGCATTTATGGATTTGGCACCTTTAGTATTTTGCCTCAAATGCACCTTCCAGCAGGCCCGGATAAGGTCGAAAAGCTGCATTACGGTCCTCTGTTGTGCTTTATGACTGTGGTTACAATGTCTACCAGTGAGCACCATTAGTGTCCGCACCTTAATACGTTGCAAACAATTAAACTGCAAGCTGTGGTAAACTAATACTACGTTGCTACGTTAGGAAATCGTAGAATGGCAAGAGTTTAATCATGCTGTGGGTTGCAGGGGATGGCTGACCAGTGCAACGGGGCCGAACCGGTGCTAATACCCCGCCTTAGATGATAGCGCAACACTGTGATGATGGACGGACTGGGCCTTTTGTATTGTGAAAAGAAATCATGATGGAGGCAAAGAAGAGTTATTTTTTCTCACTTTTCGTAACTGCAACACCTCAGCCCCACTGGTTCCACAGGCTAGGCTCGATGTGGGGATCGTGGGGAGGTGCAGAGCATCTAGCTCCTCCGGAACGGTAGCTGGATGCCTCCCTCCTCTTGCAATGTCAGAACACGGCTGGTTCAATCACTGATTTTTGTTGCTTCTTTCATACATTTCACTTCCTTTATAATTTCCCCCCCTTTTCTTTCCTTTCTTGAATAAACTTATCCACTGAAAATGGTCGTTCTCAGCCGTCGGGGCGTCGCGCTCCTTGCCATTGCAGCCTGCGCAACTACTGCTTTGGCTGCTGAGGGGCCATATGAAAGTTCCCCGGAAGTGGCTGCTGAGGTTATGGAACAGCCAAGTGTGGGAGAGTCCATATTCAGCAAAAGGGGTGTTAGCGGTCCCGTGATTGCGGGAACAGCTGCAGTTGGCACAGCTCTGATGGCTGCGATTTTGTTGTTTGGTATCAAGGTTTTGGGCGCCAAGCTCGTCCAGACGGAGTCTAAGGTAAGACATTGTATTGCTTGCCAAACATATTTGATCTTAATAGGTTCATTTTGTGCTTATTGCGTGTATCTTTCGAGTTTTTGTTCCGATGACACCCCCTGGCTACGTGTTTTTCCTGTGCAGATTGCCCATTCTAAAGTCGCCGAGGAAATCCTGGCACTCACCGGTAAGCATTCTATTCGGCACTATGTGGGACTTCATCGCAAGTTGTACTGGCGGATTTTAAAACATCTATGGAAAATATTTGCTGTTCTTTTTGCGCGTAGATAAGATGACCGTGACCACCGAAGACTTCGCCGCCTATGTTAAAGTTAAATTCGAGGTTCGTTGTATACTGGGTTTTCCTCAATATACTCGGTTCGTGAAAGTCCCGTAGGTATTCGTTGTATGGGGGTGACGCTTTGTGACTGCTTGTGACTGCTTGCTTGTGACTGCAGAACAAAGCAAAGGAGGCAATTAAGACCCTTGAGGAAGCAGAGAAGGCAATGAGACTTGACGAAATGTCTAGCGAACTTAGACGGGTGTTGGATACAATTAAAGGTATGTCGAACGTATGAAGATCGTGTGTGGTTTGGAGTCTGCTACCTGTTTTGCCCCAATGGTTGCAGCAGTGCGTCAAATTTTATATGCACATTGTGTGCTATGGTTTTTATTCAGCGGGTGGCACGGGTGCGCTTGAGTTCATCTTCGGCGAAGGAAAAGTTTCGGTAGACGTCGAGTTGAAACCTACCCCACCGCAGGAGCCACAGGAGCCGCAGCAGCCACAGCAGCCACAGTAGCCGCAGCAAGCAGGCCCACAGAAGCGGCTGTAGAGGGGATAATGCTCTGTAGTAACCAGGTAGCTTGATGCAAATGAAGTGGACATAAAGACGCTGGTTGCCCCACGATTCTGTTGTCTAGTACAGTAGTCGTGGGAATTTTACGTGGGGCATGCCGAAGGTTTGGCTTTTCGGAGGAACTAAACTGACCATCAGCCGTCCACCGGCTGTCCTTTCTGTCACAGGAGTGCTTACGATTTTGAATTGAGCACTTCCCAGTGCTTCATTGTGTACGTCGCCGTAGTTGTTTTAGCTTTTTACGTGAATAAGCTCTGTACACCAGGTGTATGGGGCAGTAGACACCGTCGAAATTCCTGTAGTTGATATTCGTGCAACTGTAACCCTGTTTACTGGCGGAGCGTAGTTGGGAGCGTAAGAATTTCTGGTCATCAGCTTACCGCTATCGAAAGGGCGCCCAGGCCTTTGGACGAGTATTGAAGTTGACAGACTGCACGCAGCATTAGAGCATCCACAATTGTCGCAACAGTCTTCGTTGTGGTTTGAGCACCCGGCTAAGACCAGGCACGACCTGACATTGAGACGCCAGCAAGGCAGATTCCATCCAGGCAACTGGGCGACATATCACAGTGTTATTGGAGAGTATGGAAGACGCTCAGCTTCGTGTAATGAACTGTTAGGCTAACAATTTCCAGTGCCTTGCAACCGTTTAACTTCGACCGTAGGGGAAGCTGTACAATGATTCTCGCGCCTATGTAGCATGGCGAGGCACGCAAGGCATAGTAACTTCACCGTTAAGCAGTCATACCGCGGTGTGTTAGTGCTCGGAAGGAGCAGGGTTGACAGCTGTATGGAACTATCCTAAATGAGCCGTACAAGTAATATCATTTGTGAACAGTTACGGCTGCCCCCGTTGCTGTTGCAAGACATAGGAGGCTTCGTACCTGATGTAGTGCACAGGAACTACAATGTGGCTCTGGTGTGATATCTAGTAGTTGGGCGACCATAAAGAGAAGGATTATGACATTAGACACTAAGAAAGGGAATTAATACTGCTAGATGCTCTAAGAATCGAGTACCGTAGGTGGAGCCATAGGTTAATAGCATAACCCCCACTGGCGGCCACCGTCATGAGTGTGGCGTACTACCACTACCACTAGTCACTACTTGGTTTCCAGGTAGGCCCCTTTAGAGATCTAATTGGATAGGATATCAGAACACAGTTCTTCTATTCTATGAACTCTCCTTGTTAATAATAGTGACTCTAACATGATTTGGTACTTGCAGCATAGGCTTCTGGGGATTTTGGTAGTTAGAGGTTGTACGTAGGAAGCCCGGCACAACGAGATGATTAGTAGGTACACCTTAGAAGAGCTGCACACTACAGCTGATAGGGTAGCTGCCTTCAACGGTGTAAAGACAGTTCCATGACACTTTCCTTCCAGACTAAATTACTAATGGGATAGTTGTTTTTGTTTTCTGCTGTATCATCATCCCCATTCATGCACATGCTTGGTGAATCGTCTCGCCCGCCTACGAAGTGTGGTTACTACGCCGATGTTTGTTTCAAGCCCTATTGCCATTTTCCCTCTAATATTATATCCGTATGCGAAGACATTGACGTTCCAAATTGAATAATGCGAGGGGGAGGGATTTCTAGCCCAACGGTTGTCCTTTTCGTGACGTATCTGGGTCTCCCCTGTGCTGTCTGCTCAGCGGAGCTCAACGGCTTTTGGACAGATCCAGTGTGCACTCTGCTCTAGTTTCCTGATTAAAGAAGTAAAGCTGACGCAGCGGTGGACATGGGATTTCAAAAGGCCCTGAAGACACCTGGAACCACTGCCACGCACTGGGCCTGCTTCCTACAATCTTGCCTCCTCCTTGCAGGAGTATTGTTCCTTGGGGGCAAGGAAGAAGTACTTGCAGCACTGTTTGAGCGCTCCTATATGGGCGAGAGGCCCACCCCACTGCAGCCCCAGTTCGGTTTTCGTTCTGGTTGGACGCAGCTTCGTAAACCTCTGGGAGGACGGAGCTGCAGCACCGATTTCCTCCCGCTGAAACATCGCCTTGAGCCCTCTTTCCTGTCTTCGTGGACTTCCCCATCTCCAGAAATAGCGGAGGCTTCCGTTGCCGGGGACTGGGACGTGAGCGGCAAACTACAGGAGGGCGCGCAAGGTGGTGGCTCACGCCTCGCTGCAGGTAATGTAGCAGCAGGTGCTATAAGGCGAGCTGCTGGTGCTAAAGAAGCAACAGCATTTGTAAGCATCTTGGAGGCTCTTCAACGTGGAAGGCGTTTGTCCCTTTCATTGTCCACCAACCGCGTCGCGGAATTGAGCATTTCCAAGAAGTTTTCGCTAGGGACCGGTCTTTCCGTCAGAGGCATTTGGCAGGTGCGTCGTAGGCCCTTCCTCCCAAGCGTTCTGGAGATAGAGCTGGGGTTCCCAGCAGACGCGCCCGAAGTCATTTTGCTTCTGCAAGCACCACTCAAACAGGGTTCTTGGCTCAGACAGGTGCCACAGCTGGGCCTTGGAGAAGCGAGCCTTTACTTCTCACCGTTTTTCCCGTGGAGGAGTCACCCGCTTGGGGCGGTGGAAATCAAACCTCACGAGGACGACCCGACAGTGGACACCTTGTTACAGTAGAACTATCGGGAACAACTGCTTGCAGTTGTATGGGCGTGAATATCCTCAACATATAAGGAGGCCGAAGGCAGTAGAACAACTCGCTGTTGTTCAAGATCTAGACAAATTACTAGATGAAGTAGATACTTGGACCCAGGAGTAACTAGACAATCGTGTGCTACTTTAGGGAGTCGCTTCACAGTAGGGCGATTATTGCCATACAGATGCGGGAATTGTCACAACCCAGCGTGGATGGATTGACTGCAACTAGGGTGCTCAACTCCCAAGGGCCTGTTGTGGGGGCTAGCTTCACAAGTGAATACCAACGGAACTTAGCTTGAATTTAGCATCACAAGTGAATACCACCAGAGCTTGGCGGAAACGAATCACTATCGGCACTGACAGTACTGCATGTGAAGATAAATTGACACCAACGGCTTTGAAGTACAAAACCCTTGTTGTTGCTGTGCTCTGCACAGACCGCCCAGCTAATGCGGTCAGAAAATCGCCAAGTGAGACATCTTCAAAAGGACCTGTCTAAAAGCGCCTGCTTGCAAGGGCTAGGGCAGGCTTATAGGCATCGTGGTGTAGCACAGCACCCATCAAACACCCGCAGCCGTCATCTCCGGAACCTATTGCTGGGTAGCCCCCGGTGGCGGGTTTTCCGGAGCTTGGGGAGGCATGTTCTTCACCTCCAAATGAACCGTGACTTTGTATTCATCAAACGCAACTGGGAGAGTGTACGCTCCGTCCCCTGTGAAAATAAAAGCGCCACACATTGCACACGGACAGGTCGGGGGACAAGCCAGCAGGCTATGTTGACGAACCTCACTTAAGTTCTTGAAGACAAATGGACGGATTCAGTTGAGCAACATGATGATGTGGGACACGTACTAGGTATCCCGGAAAGGAATGCCTGGAACTGCTCGGCAATTCTGGCGGCTTCTGCCTCCCTGCCTTCTTGCTTAAGCTCCTTGATTATCTTCGTTGCTCCGTCCTGGAAGGAAAACATAGGACGACCTAACCGTCCTTGTTCTGGAATGCTGAATGTACCCAACGTACTACGAAACTGAGCAAGGGTTGGGTGAGAGTCGAGTGTGCTTTACCTCAAACGTAAGCGTTGCGAAAGCACTGTACAACGGGGTAGTCAGAGTAAACTTGCCTGCAGAGGACACGAGCACATGGGTTCTGCAGCCAACATGCAGAGCCCAACCAGCGAGCTACCGAGGAGGTTTTCCAGTTAGTATTTGGTGGAGCAAGACCATTGACGTACCAGTACGTCGGAGCAATTCTTCGGCGATTTTGGTGCCAGCAGTCTGCGAGGAAGATGCAGGACACAAATACCACGGAACAAGTGAAGATACCTGAAAGAATTGTCAAGACATGAATAAGGAATACAGTGTATTCTTTACCTGTGCTTCTGCCTCGACGATTTTGGCGCCAAGGACTCGAAGGCCGAAAAGTCCTACAAGCACCATCAGAGCAGTTGTGCCTGCCGCTGCGCCTGCCAGTAATGTGGGGCTCATGCGAGATTTGCCCATGGAGATGCCCTGTGTTTGATTTCCTTCTGCGACCTCAGAGCTAACTTGTACATTCTCATCCAGGGGTCCCTCAGCGGCAAAGGCTGTTGTTGCGCAGGCGGCAATCGCCAGGAGGGCCACGCTCCGGCGGGTAATACCAACCATTTTCACGGCAAATACGCCTTCAAACTACAGGTGAAAGGAATAAATGGGAGGGAAAACAATAAAAGATGATGCGGCACGCTGTATTGTGATGGTTTGTTTTGCTCGTTGCTCCGGTGGTGTGTCCAGGTGGTGCTTTGCAGCAGGCTGCAGCTCCGTGGCTTCCCCCCCGATCCCCACATAGGAATACGCGTGGCCGTTCGCTTGTAGAACAACTACGGCTAAATATTTTACGCAATTATGGCCGACAAAATCCAATATAAAAAAGAAAATCAAGGTTTCAACGGGGGCCAAAGACGAGAAAATAATTTCGGTGCGGAAGACCAGAAAATATCAATGGCTGCAGCAAACTTTTGGTGGAAGGTGTTCGCGTAGCATCGATACGGATACTGGTGATTGTGGCTCTAAGCGTGTTGGAAATCTCGTTTTTCTGCATTCTGGCCACTAAAGAAATGAATTTATATTAGTATCCAGTGTGTAATGAGTCATCGATATTTTCTACGCTATTACCACGTGCAGTGGACACAAAACAACGATGGGAGTTTTCTAGGTTCACTGACAGTTCTGGGATACACTTAAGGGCTTGCTACAGACTATGTTACACTGGGAAAATGTGCTGTTCCCATATGTGCCCTAATGCAGGCTCCCTAGTCTCCGGCGTCCTGGGAGAAGTGTGCCAAGCCCCTGCATAGGAGGAACCGAGGCGGCATTCAGTTGCAAGGCAACCTGCTGTAGCCCATATTGCATGGCAATTCCACCTGCCGAGCACAACCAAGCCTGTGTGTATGAACACTGCCGACAATTGTTGAACCACTGCTTTCGTGCAACCTGCGGACTGTGGATCCTTCCCGATGACTACTGTGAGATGCAATGCAGCAGAACTATTTAGGCTGAGAGTTACTTAAGAGCATCTGGACTCAACTTCCGGCCTCCCAGTGTCCTGAGCGCGCGGCACTTCAAGCTGCTGGAGTTGCGGGAGAGGGGCGGTCCGACGTGTAATGCGATGCACCTAGCTGCAACTAATTATACAAGGTTGACCAACGTGCAGGCTTAAACAAGCCTTGTTGGGTGCACGCATGAGCGCTGTTGACTATTAATGAGAGCTTCCCCTCACTTGCCGTTGCCGCCTACCAGGGCTTAGTAAAGGTTCCACGCGTAAACTGACTTACCAGCACCGCAAAAAGGCTATGCTATATCTGTTGCTGTCTCCACCATTCCCTCCTCACCCAAGGAGTTGACACCTTCGTATGCGCTCCACGTCCCTCAAGATGGCTGTGTATTGACTTGCATTTTGTGGCTGTTTCAGCTGCTCTTCGCAATTCACGCCTGCCCAGCTTCGCCTCCAGCATCTAACCAACTTCTTGCTGGCCGCGGATGATGAGGGCCTGCGATGGCGAAGGCCGCTTCCAGATCTGCAAAGCACATTGAAATCCGATTCCATTCTCGGCCTCTTCTTCTGTTCACAGTACTCTCTGGGTTGACCTCTTCCCCTTTTTTTAAGAGCCAAGGAAACAAATAACGTACGGTTGACTCGTTTGCGGGGATCGCGAGCCTCGTTAGCACTTTTAACGCTTCAGGTTGGCCAGACAACAGATGGTAATGTACGCAATTCCTGAAAGTACGCTGCAGGCAGAAGAGGGAAGGGCTCTATATGGCATATGAAGGCATAACGAATTTCTGGCAGCTCTTCTGAACTGCTTAGGCTCCTTTCACCTTCATAGCTAAAGAAGTGGAAGCAGAGAGGGGCACTCTCCCCTCAAAGGCCAGAACCCACTCCTCAATGATGTACTGGTGGGCGTATCTGCGCCCTCTACTTTATCACCCACAGCATGCCTCATACCAAGTCGTTGTGATCTTCTCCAACGTCAAAACCCCATATCGTAGTAACGTGACTGGCTTCTAGATTTATATGGTTAGTTGTACACATATTTGTGCTAGTCCATGTGTCCTGTCTACCAATAAGGGAGCGTTGCCACAGATCTTGCGTCAATGAATGGACTGAAAAGTTGTAGAACATCGCCGTACTTGAAGGTATCATGTTCGGTTCGCGTCCTCTGTCCAGTAACGCAAACAAATCTTCTTGAATAATACGAATTTGGATCACCCATATTTTTATTAGACGAGGATCTGTAGTTTTTAACCTCATCCCTGCCCAGTACGTCTGGTTGGAGCCCCGGTGTTTCCCTGAGCACTTTGTTCGTTCGCCTAGCAACTGATCTCAGAGTCTTGCCTCTCCAACACCCCTGCGTTTCACACTTCTGCAGCCCCCAGCTATGGGGCTACGCTTGTTCCGAAAGATGCATATGTACCGCTCAGTACGATCTGCCGACCCTCCTAGTGCCGTACTTCCCGATTGCTGCAGGTTTCCGTTTCTTTTGCAGTTCTGTGTTGGGGTCGGCATGCAAAGCCCCAAAATCCATAGGCTAAGCATCCGGATCGCTTCTAAACTCAACGCCTTGGTTGTCTGTTAGGGCTGTAAATGTGGGGATTTAGCCCCACTTTAATGCGAAAATACTTCTTCATCTCTGCGTTGCCCGTTGTCCACTTCTTAATTTGGTTCCTTCTCCGCTTACCTGCAGATTGCGGATTGCCCCTCTTCGGGGGAAAACCCGGCAACGACCAATTGATACAGAAGTTCCGAGACCACAGTGGGGCTTGACACTTCTCCACGTAACGATGTATTGATAGCTTCCCTGGGCTTCATCAACTACGCATACTCCGTTCTCGTGTCAAGGAATGAGCCTACATCGCAATGCATGCATGAAGCATCCATATATCCGATGAATTCCGGAAAAGATGTTGGCAGCCTAGAAGGAAGTTTATCAGGGAATACCACACGATAATCTCGCAGTACATCTAGGATATGATGTGGGCTTGCTCTTCGAATCCCTGATTCCATCCATTCATCGAAATGAGTATGTTCCAAGGAGGCTGTTGGCCAAGGATATTTTTCCACGTCGTTTATTAGCTCACTAGTTGCCTGCCTGACAGAAGTTGGTGAAGTCTCAAACAAAGCATAATACAGAGCCCCTTGCCCCTCATCTGTCAAAATTCGGCCCACCGGAAGCGCAAGTATATTGTACATCCCATGTAGCGGGTGTGAAAAATCATGTGTGTTTTCCTTAGCCCATTGTAGTAATGTGTCTATTTTCACCTTGTTCCTTGCTCGAGGGGGTGTTTTGTACCTTTTGGGAAGTGGACGTAGAAATGCTCTCGGCTCATCCAGTGACATATCTTCTATCTGTTTTGCAAGTATATCATAAGCTTGCTCCGCAGGGGTCCGCAGACGTGCTGCTGGAAAGTTTTCTATCCTTGGTTTCTTCTTCTTGGTACGAGGTAGGGTTGGATAGCACCATCTCCCATATACATATGCACGTAATTTATCAGAGTGGAAGGACCACACCACCTTATGCTCAGTTAGCCAATCTAGTCCCAATACTATATCGTATGGTACAGGCCCTACTAAGAAGTCTCCGCACAATCGCACATCGCCACACCACATCATTAGTCCCTTTACTACTCGATCAATTCTTAATTACTCACCGTTGGCCACTGTGAAAATGCACTCCTCTCCTAGCCGCCGTATCTTTAGTTGCAGATTATCTACAGTCCTAGGAATGATAGAACTCCTGGATGCCCCTGAATCTAATAGTGCCTCGCATTTGTTTCCTGCCACGTTGACCCCTAAAGTGGCAATCGTTCCTGCATTACACAATATTCCTCTAACACTGAAGACTGCCCCGTTATCTCTTCACCACTGTAACTCTCCATTGTACACATCGGGTGCATCATTAGGGGTGGTCTTATTCTTAAATTACATCGCTCTTCTAATGTCTGCTGGGGCCTATCAGCTAACTTCTGTTCGGTTTGCGCTTGCCTGTCCTTTAACAACAACTTCCTTTCCCAATCTGGGGAGACTACTATGGAGTTAGGTCCTGTTGCTACTCCGCACATAGTTCCCTTATCATCAGAGTGTCGCGTAGTACGTGCGTCTCCTTGAACGACTAGGCTCGACCGTTTAAACGTCCCATGTCCTTGGCGTTAGTGCGTGGTTGTGTCTCTTCGGATCTCGTTGCTGACGCAGTTCTCATAGTCTCCGGGGAAGGGCAATACCGGGCATAATGCCCTACACCCCCACATTTCCGGCACATCTCCACTCTATGACGTAAAGCCTCCTGGCGAGAGGGGCATTGCGAGGCTACATCTCCCCTGCCCGTGCACTCGAAACAAACATTTTCCCTAGATACTCGCCAGTCCGGCAGGTTTCCTCTTTCACTATTTCGTGGTTCCCTGGGGGACCCAAATCGAATATGCCTATGTGTTCCCTCCGTTGTTTGAATGTCTTATCTCTAGATCCTACAATCCTTTCCACTTCTTTAGCCGCTTCTTCCCAATTTGTGAATTTGACAAGGCCCTCATTTATCATCCTCAGTACGATGTCGTCTGGCAGGTTCGCTAAAAAAGTGTACACTAGCTGCTCCTGCTGTAAGGGTTCTCCATTACATAGTACTGACGAAAACTCGGCCGCAAACTTCGCTGCACTGTTCTTCCATCCGACTTCAGATAATCGTGAGACTATTTCGTCTCGTGGGACCCGCACAATCTAGCCAGCTTAGAGCGTTTGGGAGCTTCCCAGTTGCTGACGATTTCCCGAACCCTAACCCTAACCCCATAGGTAGAAACACCAATTTGGCGCTTCTCCGGTCAGATATGTGCGCATTTCCTGTCTCCAGTGTTCCGTGGGTATTCCAGTCTCGAAAAACACCAACTCCATATGACAAAGGAAGCACAACATATTCCTACCATACTCATGCGGAATATTGGCGTTAACGACCTCGGAGAGTTTGACACCCCCAGATGATCATCCAATGAAGTCCGCATTGGAATTATCGCGCCGGCGTTGGACCCCATTGTCCTTCCCACATTGTTTGCCCGCACGATCTATCTTCTGTTGCCTGGCTTTTTAATTGTGCTGCGGCTGATTCTTATTATAAATTCCACTA